TGGATACAAGTTTCTAAATAAGTCCTTTAAGCCACTAGATTGCAATGGTAAAAATCTCCATGTTTTTATATAATTTGGTATGCTGGATCAGAATTTCCTAAAACATTTTTGCCAACACCTTGAGTTTCCAGACATTTATGCTTTTTAAATTGTTTGACTTACAGGGACACACTACTAACCTTCTATTCAGGAATTATACCTTTATCTTTACATAATATCCCATTTTGCCTAATGCAGGGTCTAAAAACCAAATCCAGCCTGCTGCCTGCTTTATAAAGTCTGAGTGTGCCACATTGCATTTATGGTCTACAAGTGCTTTGGCTTCACTACAGCAGAGCTGAGTAGTTGCAACAGAGACTGTATGGCCACAGCACCTATATTTATCTTATTTTTATTTTGAGATGGCATCTCAAACTGGAGTACAGTGGCACATCCATGGCTCACTGAAGCCTCAACCTCCCATTCAAGCAGTCTTCCTACCTCAGCTTCCTGAACAGCTGGGACCACAGGCGTGTGCCACCACACCAGGCTTATATTTTTAAAATTGTTTCATAGATACAGGGTTTTCTTATGTTGCCCAGGATGGTCTCAATTTCCTGGGCTCAAGTAATTCTCCCACTTTGGCCTCACAAAGTCCTGGGATTACAGATGTGAGCCACTGCACCTTGCCTTCTCTGGTTTTTTAATTAAGTTTGGGCCAGGCACTATGGCTCCCGCCTGTAATTCCAACACTGGGAGGCTGAGGCAGGAGGATCACTTGATACCATGAGTTCTAGACAAGCCTGGGCAACAAAGGGAGACCCCATCTCTAAAAGAAACAGAAAAATTAGCCAGGTGTGGTGCCATGTGCCTGTATCCCAACTACTTGGGAGGCTGAGGTGAGAGGATCATCATTTGAGCCCAGGAGTTCAAGGTTGCAGTGAGCTGTGATCATGCCATGCACTCCTGCCTGGTCTACAAAGCAACACATTGTCTCAGTTTACTCTTATTGGCAGCAGATGACTTGCCATTGGCAAACTTGTGCTATGAGCCAGAACTGTAGATTTCTGAAGATCAATCTCCGCAGATACTATTATAAACCTTCTACCCATATGGTAGTTATGGCTCTCCTTGCTTTTGATGCCAAGAGCTATCACCTGGCTGCTGCCATTATTCTGAGATCCTATCATTCCCATTGCAACTAGAGAGCCCAATTCCCTAACAGCACCTCTTGCAGCCAGCTCTCGCCTAGGGACAGCCGCTATCGGCCATCTCCATGATACTTGTTCTCCCTTCTTGTATATCCACTTCTTTTGATCATGTCCTCATTTGTCATGGCAGTTCTGCTATCTCCATTTTTTTAATGAGAACCAATGCTTTTTCCAAGCTTCAAAAACTGTTCCAGTATCCATTAGAAGCATCTTTTTCCCTTGCCAGTGTGTTAATCTTGTCATACAGTGACCTCATAGCAGAAAACTCTCCCCTATTCAACTTTGTATTCTACTCCCTGATGCAGCAGTCTCAGCATCTGCTCCCACGTATACTCTTCTGGTTCTTGCTTGTACGTTAGCCAGGTCCTACAGCTCCTTTGGTGTCTGAATCCAGTTCTTACCACAGCAGTCCCAGAACTTCCCCAGTTTGGGGTTGCTGAAATTTGACCCATTATTGATTTGGGGGAAAGATATGTGGAAGAAAGCATTGTTTTAAAGGGAGCATAGACGGTATAGGGAAATCTGGGGATCTGAGCAAGGTGCTCGAATGCACGTGCTAAGAAGTCTACATCCTGACTCAGAGTTGCCACTTCTTCCCCATTAAGTTTTTCCTCCTAAGATTGAAAGTAAAACAAAGGTCCCTACATTTATCACTTTCATTCAACACTGTCCTGGAGGTCACACAGCAATTGCAATAAGAGGAGAAAAAAAAAAAAAAGGACAGCATGAAGACCAGAAATGAATAAACTTTCTATTTGCAGATGACACCATTGCTTATGAAAAAAATCAATAAATCTCTATGACAACTCCAAGAATACGTGAAATGTTCCAGACAACATGCAAGATAAATGTACAAAACTCAACGTATTTTCATGTACAAGTAGCAAACAACTGGAAAAGTAAAAGACAAACCAATTTACATATTGTGAAAATGTCTATGAATAAGCTTAAGAAAATACATTCAAGATCTCTATATAGAAAATTCCAGGATATTTCTTTTTTTTCTTTTTTTGAGGCAGAGTCTCACTCTGTCGCCTGGCTGGAGTGCAGTGGTGCGATCTTGGTTCACTGCAAACTCCACCTCCCAGGTTCAAGTGATTTTCCTGCCTCAGCCTCCTGAGCAGCTGGGATTACAGGCGCCAGTCACCACGCCCACCTGATCTCAGGTGATCCGCCTGCCTTGGCCTCCCAAAGTGCTGGGATTACAGGCATGAGCCACTGCGCCCGGCCTACTACAGAGTATTTCTGAGAAAAATTAAAGGAGACTGAAATAGAAGTTATGCTAAGGTTACAGACTGGAAGTCACCGCTGTTAAGTGTCAGTTCTCTTCAGATTTATCTGCAGAGTTGATGCAATCTCAGTTATAATACTGACAGGCTTTTTGGTAGGAACTGATAAGGTGACTCTGAACATTTATTAGAAAATGCAAATAAGCTAGAGTCGTGAGGCCAATTTTTATTTTATTTGTATTTTATTTTTTAACCCAGGAAAGCATCACCAGGATTTTTTTTTTTTTTTTAAGAGACAGGGTCTCATTCTGTCAACCTGGCTGGACCACAATGGTGTGATCACAACTCACTGCAGCCTTGAACTCCTGGGGTCAAGCGATCCTCCCACCTTAGCCTCCGAGTAGCTAGGACTACAGATGGGTGCGCCACCATGCCCAGCTAATTTCTAAATTTTTTTTGTAGAGACAAGGTCTTGCTATGTTTCCCAGGCTGGTCTTGATCCTCTGGGCTTAAGTGATCCTCCCGCCTGGGGCTCCTAAAGTGCTGGGATTATAGGCATGAGCCACCATGCCCAGCCTAGAGTTTGTTAAAATAACAACAAAACTGGAAGACTTAGACTACCAAATTTCAAGACTTCCTCTAAAGCTATAATTAAGACAATGTGGAACTGCTGAGAAGACAGAGATTGATGAAAGAGATTATTTCAGAAGGGTACCCATGATAATTGACTTTTGCAAAAGGTGCCAATAACAACATGAGGAGGAAAATGAAAGACATCTCCCAAAACTGGTGTCACTGTGGGTCAATAATACAGGGGAAAATATAATTCAACCTTTACCTCCTCCATTATCCATAATAAAAACATGAAATAGATCTAACTGTAAAGGCTAAAAATACAAAACAGCTATAGAAAACATGTAAGAAATTCTACATAGGCTCAGCATAGAATAAATAATACTTCTTAGAAGATAAAAAGCATAACTAGGTCAGGCATGGTGGCTCACGCCTGTAGTCCCAGCACTTCGGGAGGCTGAGGCAGATGGACTGCTTGAGCTCAGGAAGTCGAGACAAGCCTGGACAACATGGGGAAACCTAGTCTCTATAAAAAATATAAAAATTAGTTAGGTGTGGTGGCATATGCCTGTAGTCCCAGCTACTTGGGAGGCTGAGGTGGGAGGATCGCTTGAGCCCGGGAGGCAGAGACTGCAGTGAGTCATGATTGTGCCACTGCACTGTAGCCTGGGTGACAGAGTGAGACCCTGTCTGAAAAATAAATAAAAGCATAACCATTAAAAAATGTGATTAATTGGATGTGATCAAACTTAAAAGCTTTTGTTTTATCACCATTATGTAAGTGAAAAGGTAGGTTACAGAATAGAAAATATTTCTAAAATCTGGTGAACTCTCATAACTGGACATGAAGAAAAACCTCTAATTTAAAAAATAATCAGCAAGACTTCAACACACACTTCACAAAAAATATATATCAGTAGTCAAGGGAAGGCATTTTTAAGTTAAATCAAAAGTACAATGAAGTATCATTCCATACAAACTAAGTACTGGTGATGATATGGAATAATCAGAATTAACATTTTGAGTTTTGGTTATTTGCTAACTTTTCCATTACACATTCTACAGTGTCGAGTAAGGTGAGAGCTGCATCTAAAGGACTTCCCGCACTGACTGCACTGAAAGGGTTTTTCACCAGTATGAATTCTATTATGTTGACAAAGTGTGGAGGAAGTATTAAAGGCCTTCCCACAGGCATGGCATTTATAAGGTTTCTCTCCAGTGTGTGTTCTCTTATACAGGAAGGCTGAATTTTTTTTTTTTTTTTTGTGTTCTCTTATAAGTAACAAGGGAAGAATGGGCGCTGAAGGCCTTTCCACATTGCTTGCATTCATAGGGTTTCTCACCAGTATGAACTCTCCTGTGCAGAGTGAGCTGCATGACACGACAAAAGGTCTTTTTGCAGTCCTTACGTTGATACGGTTTTTCTCCAGTGTGAGTTCTCCAATGTTCAATCAGGGAAGACAGGCGCACAAAAGATTTCTTACACTTACTACACTCATAGGGTTTTTCTCCAGAATGAGTTTTCTGATGTCTAATGAGCTGGGCGCTTTGAGTGAAGGCTCTGCGGCACTCCTTACATTCATATGGCTTTTCTCCACTATGAATTCGCTGGTGATCCATAAGGGCTGAGGAACGGCTGAAGGCCTTTCCACATTCACTGCATTCATGGAACTTTTCTCGCGTATGTGTACTCTGATGCTGTGTGAGATGAGTCATCTGGCTGAAGGTTTTCCTACATTCCTTACATTTGTAAGGTTTCTCACCCATGTGAATTCTCTCATGCTGGGTAAGGTGTGCCCTCTGGTTGAAGGTTTTACTACATTCGTTACATTTATAGGGTCTCTCTCCCGTGTGGATTCTTTGATGTTGAATGAGAGTTGACCGACGAGTGAAGTGTTTCCCACAATCTAAACACTGATTGCATTTCTTTCGTGTGTGATTTCTCTTACGGAGAGTAAGCTGTGTATTGTGGCAGTATACATTTCCACATTCCTTACATATGTTTCTTGTACATTTTATCACTGTGTCAAACTGAGATAATACTTCATTAATAGCCCTCTTTGCAGATAACTCCTTAATCTCTGCACCTGGTGTATCTGAACGGGGAAAAAAAATCAATGAACAGAAGCAAGTTAAACTAATGTAACACGCCCGCCTTTTATCTTTTCAAACCCACTTTAGGCACCTACTCAAGAAATTAAGCTACCAGTTTTTAAGGTTATATTGATAAGAATGCTTATTGAAATAATATGGAAACAAACTAGGTGTCCCTCATCATTAACCATGGTATATCTCTATCTGTAGTACTACTCAGCTACTAAAAAGATTGAACTTCAGCTGTTTTCTGACCTGCAGGATAATGTATTCAGTGAAAAGAACAAGATGCAGACTTATGTGCTAAGTTATACCACAAGTTTCAAAACACAGAAAGGTAAATGATAGTTTCTGTATACACATTAACCGGAGGAATTAATGTGTCCAGACAGAAGGCACCTCCAGTTAGTTTACTGCAGAAAACAATTTGACATAATATAGAAACAATAAAATCAATCATATAATCAGGGGCAGACAGGGCATGAATTCTCGTTGATACAGACATTTTGAGATTGAAGAGATCGCTAAGCAAACAGGAAAAATAAGAGGGTCAAGTGCAGGCTGCAAGGAAACAGATTTAGAGCTTAAGAAAACATGTACTGTGGGGAACTGCAGAAGCCAAAATGGCATTACAGGAAGGCTGATCAACATGATCAAAAATTAAAGAAAGGCAATAGGATTTGCGACAAAGACGAACATAATACCCTTCTAACCTGTAGTTATTTTTACTGTTTAGGAGCTAAAGGGCAGAGATGCTGGCTGTGCTTGATGTAAAAGTTAAGAACAGAACCGTGGTCAATTACAAATGACTGAGTCTGGCCTGTTCTTCATGCACTAAACATGTGGGAATCCCAGTTTTTTCCAGATTGAACTGTGTATGTAGACAGTGGAGAGGGCTAACCTCATGAAGGGTGCAAGAGGAGCTGGTTTTACAGGGGACCTCCACCACAAGGCCTAATGATTTTTAAAATGAACTCAAATAAAAGATTATTACCAAATGTGACGATTCAAGCTCATTGTTCTACATCCTTTGCACCACAGAAATATCCATTTTAGCAAGAACCATAAATTAGTCAGATACCAACTACCTTTCAATGTTGTCTTACTCTAATGTCTTGGTCTTACTTTGGTTACCTTTTCTTCATGAACAGTGAGGCCCTGGAATTCTAACACAGGATGTTTTCTGTTTCTCCTGCTACCAATCAATCAGTCCTTCTCTGCTATCCATAGGCAATTCACTTCTTCCATTCCTAAGGGTCCATCACCACAAAACATATAGAAAACACGTTCATCTCCAATTCTGAATTACTATTGAGATCCAGTTACATATTTCTAATGTACAGTTCAAGACATATCTTAATTCTAACAATTCCCTAAATAAATATAGCAAAAATGTGTACTTCATTTCCTCACTTTCTGTAACTTTAAATATCACCAAGTTTTGAAGCTAAAACTCTACTAACTCCCACACACCAAAATAACCCGTTTTAATCAGTTTCTACCAGTTAATTAGTTTCTACTTTGCACAAGGTTTGTGGAAGCAAGTCTTAATCCCCTCACTCAAATGTAAACTCACTGCAAGTTTCTATACTTTTAAACAAACTCAGAAAAGAACACAGCAGGCTTTGAGACTGTTCTCCTAAGAAAGGTGTGCTTCCAAGGTTGGCCCGATTGACCTCTAAGGAACTTGGGTTTCAAGAGGGTTTCTACCATTCCCGGGAACTGGTACAAGCGACTTACCACACCTAAACTATTTGTGCAGATTATGTGGTTTATGCAGAACACCTACTTTCGTTTTGAGAGTCTGGATTTTCAGCATACACTAGGCAGAGGGTACCTTTATGGCTTCCCTAAGTAAAATTCCTTGGCACTAAGTCTAATGTTATCTAGCTGCTATCATCTCACACATACCACACAAGTTGCTGCTAGAGGAATTAAGTACCTCCTTTGTGACTCCACTGGGAGAGGAATCTCAAAAGCACATTCCTGATTTCCTCCAGACCTTGCCTTATGAGCTTACCTTTGCTGATTTTGCTTTATATCTTTTGCTAAAACTTAGCCATTGTGCAGTCAAGAATTTAACCTTTTCCAAAGAGAGGTCTAGTCTTTGCCCTTAGCTCCTGGGAGGTAATCTCTGACACCTTGAAATATCCAGCATGATAAAAGTGTCTCTATTTGCCTATGGGCGTTGGACCACACCAGAGAGTCAAATTATGTGATTTATGTGGGGCTCCAGGTCACATGATATTAGGGCGACCTCCAGAAGGGCTAGAGCCTGAGGTGAGACATGAGCAGTCAGCCATGTCTACATGATGGTGCCTTAATGAGGAGTCTGGATACCAAGGGTCAGGTAGACTTCCTTGGTTGGTCAAACACTGTGCATATTGCCACACATCATTGTTGGGAGGAGTTAACACTGTCCATGACTCCACTGTAGGGGCATAAATGGAAGTCCTCCTAGACTCTGCCCATGTCTTTTTCCTTGGCTGATTTTAACGTGTATCCTTTCATGGTAATAAACTGTAACCATGAGTATAACAGCTTTCAGTGAGTTCAGTAAGTTCTGTGAGTCCTCGTGAATTATCAAACCTAATTATCTTGGGGACCTTTGGATTTGCAATTCATGTCAGAATTCAGGGTGGTCTTGGGGATCCCCATACTTTTCAGCTGGCATCAGAATGATGGTGTTCTTCTAGACTATTCACTAACTTTGCAGGCATGAATACAACAATATCATGACTCCTGTGACTACTCCTAGTAAGTCCTTGAACCTGGAGGTGGTCTTGGGGACTCTCAACAGTTGATTAGTTTTAAAAAAGGAATGAATGTTAATGAATAAATGACCAATGAATATACCCATTCAAACAATCAGACCACTATATAAGTCATTTTACAGTAAAGAAAACAACAGTATCAAAGAATCAAATAAAAAAAAAGTTGGAGAAACAGGATACTGAGTTTAAAAAGAAGCTTACCATAGACAAAGAGGAAAGACACACCTGTAATTTCTGAGCCCACAGGCATTTATAAAAGTAGATATAAATGGTGGGTGATCAGTATCCTTTTAGGAACTCAAACTCAAGAAGCCTCAATGTCTACATGTGTATGGAACAGTGGAAGACAGCATCCTTCACATCTTAAAGGTGCTTTGCCCTCTAGAACTGGTATGCCTTTCATATACATGGCTTACCCCCGCTAGTTGGTTCTTCATACTCACCTGGCAATGGGACTCTTATCTCTTCTTTCCCCATTATCCAAGGCAGTTTCCTTTTCTCCAACAGTGAAATCACAGATTTAGAAATGGAAAGTCCTGTGAAAATAAATAGAAAGAATTGGCTATGCTCTGGTTACTCAGGTATTCTGACAGATCAACACTGTAATCAAAACACAAGCCATTATAAAAACAAAAAAATTAGAATATCTGGCAGATAGGATAAAGAAAGCTGCTCACTTCAATTTCCACATCTCATGTAAATTCTGAATCTCACCAAAGACTCCCAGTATTTAAAAAAAAAAAAAAAAAAAAAAAGACACGCTCAAGACATGCTGAATAAAGGGCTTTAAGCACTTACCCAGCCAGACCAGGTTCTGATAATTCTCCAACATCACAGTTGTGTACAAATCTCTCTGAGCAGGGTTCAGGAATCTCCACTCTTCCTTGGAGAAGTCAATGGCCACATCTTGGAATGTCACTGATCCCTGAAACGACAAACACTTTCTTAGAAGAGTCCAAGTAAATAACTGGAAGTTGGGAGGAGCTGATAAGGACTCTGTGTCTTGTAAGAGCAGTTTATTTAAGTTGCTGAAGAACAATACTGTGAAATAGTGTTTGCTAAAATTTGGGTATAGAAAAATACTTAATAAGGGAAACATTCAAGATGAACAGGGTGATTCAAAAAACATTGAATAATTTAAGAAATGTATTGCCCAGAGACTGTGTATCCATGTATTCAAAACCAATTTGTAAAGGAACTATCACAGTTGATTTCATAATCTTACATATTCATAGTATGACCACACATTGACTTTGTCGAAAGCCAGTCATGATCAATTCTATCATGGATCTTTAGTGTGAGCATCAGAATAACCTACAAATTACTTTTTTGCTGAAACAAAATATAGTCTCCTTTCTTTAAATCTGGATTGGACCTACAATTTGCTTTAATCAACAGAATGTGACAGAAGTAACACTAACTAGTTCCAGGTGAAAGCTTTAGGAAGGACTGGCATCTTCTGTTTTGCCCTCATAGGGGCTCATCACATATAAGAAAAGCCAATGAGACATTGCCAATGGCGAGTGAGGGATTCTGAGACTACATCAAATAAAGCTGAGGAACTCAGCTAGCAGCAAACAACAGTGGCCCAGATATATGACTCCAGCTAGTCTAGCTAAATATAAAATATATGAATGAAGAAGCCATCCTGGGGATTCAGGCCCCAGCAGGCATCATAGGATCAGAGATTAATCATTCCCACCCTGTCGAGTTCAGTGTGGATTCCTCACCCATAGAATCATACAAAATAAAGTAGTCCTTGCTCTTGCAGCTACATTTTAAGGTAGTAGATGTAATGGTCCGAAAACTGCAGCAGATGTGTTATTATTTCACCTTATTTGCTTCCATCAGGTGTGCAACAGAAGCAAGGAAGAAGGTTTCATCCTCAGCTACTTTTGAAGAAGCTGGGAAGAACTGAGGATGCCCAGCCTATGGTTAGTTTTCCTTTCCAATATCCTGGGACTTCATCAACTCATAATACAACTATGATTCCCAATTACTCCAATCATATACAGTTGCCCTGTGTCATCCTTTCCAGATACACCCCTGCACCATCTGCAACAACAGTACAAAGGTCAAAAGCTATTGAAACTTTATTGTACTAAACATGAGGCAGAGAAGGTTCCTCTTTTCTCACTTGAATGTGGGGTTTAAGAAATCAGTATCGCTGGGTGCAGTGGCTCACACCTATAACCCCAGTGTTGCTGGACTAAGCTGAGGGTCAGGCTGCTATTTATTGAGGCCCAATAACGAGATGCAGATGAACTGGGGAGGAAGGGAGTTTTTATTTCTGTAGCCAGTTACAGGGAGAAGACCTGGAAATTACTGCCAGACCAACTCAAAATTACAAAGTTTTCCAGAGCTTATATACCTTCTAAGCTATATATCTACGTGTAGGTATGCATTCATCTAAAGACAAGTGATTAACTTCTTTTAATCTATAACCAAAGACTGAGTCTTGAAGACCTTCCTCTGGAGCCTCAGTAAATTTACTTAATCTAAATGGGTGTAGGGTGCTGGAGTGATTACCCTTATCTTGTCTCCTGCTAAACCACGGTGGTTTGGGGAGTTCCTTCAGACCTCCAATAAACTTATTTGTGGAGGCGCAGGGAGTTTCTTCAGACCCCCCAGTAAAACTTGTTTCATCCTAAATGGGTCCAATTAAGAATCCCTTCATTATTTTGTCATGCTTTAAGGCCCAGGAAAGGCCAAGGCAAAACTCTTGGTGGGCTTTTGTTACATTCCAACCGCTGTATAAGGGTACTGGCTTTTAATATTTAACCTGTCCGTCAGTACTGAAACAGCTGTTACGGAGACCTGTGTTTGGCGAGACGTGGCCTGCCACACCAGCACTTTGGGAGGCCAAGGCAGGAGGACTGCTTGAGCCCAGAAGTTCAAGACAAGCCTGGGCAACACAGCAAGACTTCGTCTCTACAAAAAAATTAAAAAATTAGCCAGGCATGGTGGCTCACACCTGTAGTCCCAGCTACTCAGGAGGCTGAGGCAGGAGGACTGCTTGAACCTAGGAGGTTGAGGCTGCAGTAAGCCATGATCAATATGATGAATTCATGTCCAATATGATCAATTTACACAAACAATCCACCCATTAGCAGATCCCTGATCAAGAAACTGAGTATTACCAGCACCTCCAAGATTCCCCAAGATTGCTTCAAGACACACCTCTTGCTATCCTGAATTCTGTCACCATAAATGAGGAAGACTACAATATTTTTAATGAATATTTTTTCTTGATATTCTTCAGATGCCAGTATTTTCTTTTTCTTTTAAGAGAGAGGGGTCTTGTTATGCTGCCCAGGCTGCAATGCAGTGGCTTTTCACAGGTGTGATCACACTGCACTACAGTGCTGAAATGCTGGGCTGAAGTGATCCTCCTGCCTCAGCTTCCCAAGTTGCTGGGACTACAGGGGTGCCCAGATGCCAGTATTTTTTCTACAACTATATCTTCTAAAAGATTACCAAAAGATACAGGTTGAATATCCCTAATCTGAAATGCTTCAAAATCCAAAACAGAATGAGTAAGGAAAATACTGCCTGTTTTCCTAAAAGAAAGAAAATACAGGCTGGGCGCAGTGGCTCACGCCTGTAATCCCAGCACTTTGGGAGGCCGAGGCAGGCAGATCATGAGGTCAGGAGATCGAGACCATCCTGGCTAACACTGTGAAACCCCGTCTCTACTAAAAATACAAAAAAAAAAAAAAAAATTAGCCGGGCCTGGTGGCGGGCGCCTGTAGTCCCAGCTACTCAGGAGGCTGAGGCAGGAGAATGGCCTGAACCTGGGAAGCGGAGTTTGCAGTGAGCCGAGATTGTGCCACGGCACTCCAGCCTGGGCGACAAAAGGAGACACCGTCTCAAAAAAAAGAAAAGAAAGAAAATATAAGTTTCCCCTTTGAGAAGAAAATCTATTTTTCAAACAAAACGTCTTGGTGTCTACACTTAGCAGGCTAAGAATCAAATCTGGTTGTATTTGCACAAAATTTCAGAGACCATGCAAACACCCTGAAGAGAACTCTATTTTGGGAAATATAGCCAGCTCATCCATCTTGTCCCTTGCAGCAGACTTCTTGTTCCTCATTTACAGAAAGCCAATAGGTTTTTCCCAGAATTCCACAGATGAAGCCTGTGACTTTATTTTAAGCTGCCCAACTTCAAACTGGAACCTTTGATCCAAAACACTATCTTTGACTAATGTCCTAATAAATGGCCTGACTTTGTTAACCTGGACTTCATGCTCGAGACATCAATCACATTCCCATTCCTCCAAATTTCCAAAGGCAGATTACCGTAACTGAGCCTAAACCACTCACTAGCATTTTCTATGCTGTGTCCTCTCAGTCTGGAGCAGTAAAGAAAGTCAAAGATGACGGAGTATTCACCTCTACTTCAAGAAGATGACAGTCCCCGGATAAAGGCTCTCGTCTTCTCCAGGGAAAGTATCTTTGACCCACCACATAGTGCTTAAAAGAAGACTGGTGACAGTGGAGATTCCGATCAATTCATTCAGTGAATAAAGGAACACTAAAGTACAGGACGTGGACTCTGAGAGGTCCCGATAGTCCCATGTGTTGCTGAATGAAAAGACCTGAACCTTGTCTCGGTGTCAGTCTTTACCATCCAAGTAAGCAAAAGTAGATGTGCCCAGGACTTAAAACCTATGATGTTGCACGAAAAGAAGATAAAACAAAAACTTACCTGAGACATGGCTAATGACCACTGCGCTGGAACAGTGTCCTGAACAGCGACCGGGTCCTGGAAATGCAGAGCTAAGGAGAAGGAAGAAAACTTCAGCGACTAGATTCTCGAACCCACTGCCACCCATTTTCAACCACGTTCCTAACAAACTCCAAGAACGAAAGATTTCACGGTCAAAAGAAAACACTGTTTAGCGTGCAGCTCTGGTTTCTAAAACTGTAACTGGGCCTTTTTCAATGCTCCAGTCGCCTACTCTGGGATAGAACCATTCACACAAAGAGTAATTTTAATAATGCCCTCCGTGTACACAAACGCCAACACACAGATCACGCGCGCATTGTTGTCAGGCACCCGCCCCCTCCACACTCAGGCCGGGTCGCCTGCACTGATCCCTGGGCCTCCAGCCATTCGCCGGCCACTCCTCCCCGGAGTGCCTCTGAGACAGACCGCCCCAACGCAACACAAACCTCATAATGGCCCAGGCTCCGCGTGGCGCTGGGAAAATACCGTCCAACAAAAGAGAAACGGCGACGCTGCCCACTCACGTGTCCTTGGAGCCCGCCAACCTGAAGCAGCTGCCGCACCGCGTGTGCCGAGTGGTTTCTGGGAGTAGGCGAGGACTCGCAGTGCGCATGTGCAGCCTCACGCCCCCGCTCCCAGAGACTGGACTACAGAGGCGTCCTTGGCTAAGAGACAAGCTACCTGGGGCACAAAGTACGCATGCGTACTGTCGTCCCGTAGGCCCTCGACGCCGAGCGCGGTGGAGGCGGTTCCGCTGGTGATTGAGTACGCGTGCGTGAGCTCGGCGTTGGGGGCGTGGCTTTGTGCCCGTTGGAGGTGTTGAGAGAACGCTGCGCCTGCGCACAGAGAACCAAGCGGTTGCCTTCTGAGGGCTGAATCGTGGGAGGCTTTAAGAGGTGGGGAAAGGCCTATGATAATACATTGGCGTGGACATGTGCGTCTTAAGTTTGGGAAAGTGTTTGTTATTAGAGGTGAGTGGGACCGCCGGGCGTCTGCTTTGGTGTATCTGATAGGCCCCATTCTCTGTGAGGTTAGGCCCATTCTCCGTGAGGTTGTGTGATTTGATGTGTGACCCTAAGTGCATCTCTGTGGGTGTTTTGTTGACACTTGAGCTGTAGAGTGTGTCTGCTGTGTGACTTTTTATTGTTTAATCTTTATGAGCTTCAGTTGCTCTTGTGGCAATGGAACAATATTTCTCAGCTAATGGTTAATGAGGATTAAGTGTTCATAAATGTGCCTGGCACAAAATAAGCAATGAATGGAGAAATTGTGCTTCAGTGCATTATTTAGATTACGGGCTTCCGGGTCATTTGATTCTACTTTGTCATTGTTTTGAGCTATTTATCAACTCACATTGCGGATCGCCGATGGCAGTTCAAATTACTTCTTGTTTATACAAAAGTAAATTGGAGAAGGCTCAGTTTACTTCCCTCCTCCATCTCCATTTGGGAGGAGGCCAGTTTTTGCCTCTTTTGCTGCTGCACATCATTTTAATTAAATTTTTTTGTTGTTGTTGTTAAACAGCGTCTCACTCTATTGCCAACACCGACGTGCAGTGGCACCATCATAGCTCACTGCAGCCACAACCTCTTGACATCCTGGATTGAAACTATCTTCCTGCCTCAGCCTCCTGAGTAGCTGGAACTACAGGTGCGCACCACCATGCCCGGCTAATTTTTTAAGTATAGGTGAGATCTCACTATGTTACCCAGGCTGGTCTCAAACTCTTGGCCTCAAGTGATCCTCCCACATTGACCTACCAAAGTGCTGCAATTACAGGCATGAGCCACTGCAGCCAGCCACTTTAATATTCTTGATCTATAAATATTACTTTTTTTTCGGCTAGAGGAAGTGTTCTCTTATGAGTTAGTTCACGTCACCAGTTTTTCTCATTAATGAGTTAAGTAAAATCTTCAAGCTGTGTTTTTCGCTTATTAGAGTGCCTTGTGATTTTTTCCTGATAGCTGAATGTGATGTACTTGGTAAAATAAGCTGCATGATAGGTCTTTAGTAACATGGTGATAAGATTTGGTTGTGAGAGGGGAAGTGTTCTATAGTCTGCAAAATCATATAAACTTAGGCACATTAAAATTTTAAAGAGTTTATTTAAGCAGACAGCAGTTCATGAATTGGGCATTGCCAGACCACATGCAGCTTAGGGCCCCTCTGAAGAGGCATGAGGGAAAGGCTTTTACAGGCTGAACTCAGAAACAAGACAAAGAAAATACTTGATTGGTTAGTGTAGAGCCTTATTTGGCTCATTCCAGTGGAAAGCCAATAGTAGGAGGTTAATTGGTGGTTTCTGATTGGTTAAGGCCAGTTACACTGAGTTGGGTTTGGGTTTGCTTAGGTTAAGAATTCAGGATACTGGAGCCATCTCAGCCTAATGACCTCCCAATTAATGGTTTCAAGAAGTCTTAATGGTAAGGTTTCAGTCTTTTGTTTTGTTTTTTTTTTTTTTGTTTTTTTGAGACTGCGTCTCGCTCTGTCACCCAGGCTGGAGTGCAATGGTGCAATCTTGGCTCACTGCAAGCTCCGCCTCCCGGGTTCATACCATTTGCCTGCCTCAGCCTCCCGAGTAGCTGGGCCAACAGGCATCCACCACCATGCCCAGCTAATTTTTTGTATTTTTAGTAAAGATGGGGTTTCACCACGTTAGCCAGGATGGTCTTGATCTCCTGACCTCATGATCCGCCAGCCTTGGCCTCCCAAAGTTTTCAGTCTCTTATCCTGTGCCCAGGGACTATGAATTTCACAAGTGCTTCTCAGTAAAACCTTCCTTCCCCTTAAGTGGGACAGGATGGCAAGAGGGGACCAGAGTTTATTTTCCTTCTTCTAAGTCATTTGGACACTGATAAAACGGTTCTGGTAAAATGGTTTCTCTCCAGAGCATTGAACAGAATGCTCTGGTATATTTCAAAATGGCTACTCTTCCTCTTCCCCTGCCAGAACCAGCTGGGGACTTTTCTCAGATCTTCACTGTGAGAACCTGCTAGAGTCCTTGGAGATGAAACTCACGAAAGTGTAAAGATAGAAACCATATAAGCCAGGAGAGACTGGGGGACTATATTCAGCATCCTTAAATAAAAGAAGTGCCATTCTTGGGAGGCCCATAGGAGGGATTCCTGCTTCTCAATTGTAGGATATTGAGCAGCATCCCTGATCTCCAGCCACTAGATGCTAGGTGCAAACCTGCTAACACTCTCCAGCCCCCACAACCAGTTGTAATGAACAAAAATAATTCCAGACACTGCCAAACTGGGGGCATTATATTAAGTGAAATAAGCCAGGGACTGAAAGACAAATATTACATGTTCTCATTCATATGTGGGAGCTAAAACTGTGGATCTCATGGAGGTAGAGAGTTGACTGGTGGCTTCCAGAGGCTGGGAAGGGACAGGGGAAGAAGAGAGGTTTGTTCCCAGGTACAAAAATACAACTGGACAGAGGGGATAAGATCTAGTGTTTGACAGTACAATACAACAACTATAGCTAGCAATATTTTGTGGTATAATTCAAAATTGCTGGAGGAGAGGAATTGGAATGTTCCCAACATGGGTGAAGGTTTGGGGTGATGAAGTCCCAATTGTCCTCGTTTATTGTTATACATTGTATACATGTATCAAAATACTGCATGTACCCCCAAAATATGTATAAGTATTGTGTAATGATAAAGTCTGTGTCGGGGCCTCTGTATACTTACAGCTGAGAGCTGGGCTTTGCATGCATGAGGCAAGATCACCAGACATTTACCAAACAGCAGTGACTGTGTTTTATTATTCCTCACTCTCCAAACTTGTTAACACATAGCAGTGACTATGAACAGTCCCTTAACACCCTTGGCATCCAGCTCAGTCGTTGAACGTAGCCAGACAAAAACAGACACATCACAGACAGTGGAGAAAGAGGAGAAAAAAGGCCCCCTGACTTCTCATCCAAAAAAATGAAGGTCTAACACTAATGGAAAATTGTCTGTAAAGTGCTGAAGAAAAAAAAAAAAAAAACACTTCATGCTATATCCTATGAAAATATCCTTCAAAGATGAGGATGAAAATCAAGGTAATCTTAGAAACATGCAAAGCTATGAGAATTTTTATTGCCCACAACCTACACGACCACCAGTTCTAAAGGAACTCCTTCCGTCTGTGCAGGAATCATAGTGCAGGTCCAGGGATGAACCTGAGAAACAGTAAAGGAGTATATATAAAAGACAACATTTTCTTTCCTGATGGAATTGCTGTAAAACACTACAGACTCTTGAAAGGACAATAACCCCATAGGCAGTTTTTATACTGTAGGCAAAAGTAAAAATTACAAGAATTGCACGAAGAAGGATATGGGGTAAATGGAATCAGTTATACACTCTTGGTTTTCTCCTCACTGAGACTGAAGAGGAAGTAAATGAATTTTACAATATGTGAAGCCAGAAAATTAACTTTCCCCTCAGGGCTTAGTATAATGTAGCACCCTGCCACGCTCTCCCCCCTTCCCCCACCCTAATATTAACAGCCTGTGCTCCTTCTGTGCTCAGTGAGCCTTATCTATACTCCCCAGTTTCACATTCCTTAGAGCTCTGCGAATTCTTGCTTACCTCCCAGCACAGCTGCAAGGTCATAAGATTGATAAGTATATGTTACAGAACCATGTATTTCCGGGGATGTAAGATATGGGGTAACAACTGCCTTTCTTCTCGCTTCTGTAAGTACGCTCCTGCATCACGTAATTCCCACCACTGACTGTTTAAAAGGTGGCTGCTGTCTTTGTTCAGGGCTCAGACTTTCCTGGATGCTAGTCCTACTGAGCCAGGTGATCACCTTAATAAAGGCTCTCCTGAACTCTGTTCGGTCTCTCCCAGCTCTGATTGTCCCGCTACAAGACAGTTATCAAATCCTCCATCTGCATAACTCCATCAGCAGACCCTGCATTTACCTTCTGGGACAATTTGGTACTTTCCCTATATTTTTCTCCCTGTCTCATCCTTTCATGTATTTATTGCATATCTTAAAGTAGATGTTTTTCACCAAGTACACACTGGTGTCTGGTATTAATGAGGCTGTCAGTAAATAATATTGGCACCACAGAAAATAAATGTACGTTTATTCTTTGTCTTTTCCCAAATACTAATCTGTAAATTTATTTAGGTTGTGGCTTCAGGTCATCATAATCATTACCTTCTTCCCAATCCTGATTCAAACCTTGACCCATAATAGGTGCTTCATACCTAAACATATGAAGGAATAAAGAATGGATGCATATTCTAAGTTAATAAATAATCAGGAACAAATACATGGAAGGATCAGTACTGCCAGTTTAAACACACACAAACTGCGCTTCAAACATCCTGCACTATTTGCCAATAAACACAGTCTGGACCCAAAGTTCAAGTTGGAATTTTCTGTTATAAATTGTTTTATCAAAATTGTTTTACAGAGCTTGGTCTTGGGCTATTTTTGTTACTTTATTTTTTAATTTATTTTTTCCAGTGTTTTCTTGTATCTCTACAATGTTTTAAGCATCAGCCAAGTCAGCGTAAAACAGTAAAAATTGGAAAAAAAAAATTGACATGATCTTCAAAATCATGGTGTATACAGTAAAATAAATGAACCTGACAGTAAATAAGCAAATAGAAATATAGCGTGTGACACTGTAATATTAGAACATTTTGATCATACTGTTACTGCCACATCACCTAAGACATTTGGAGGCAGTTTTATACAATTTTGATAGTTTGGGTAAGTTTTGATTTAAGCAATAATCTATAATGAGAAAAAGTTCACATTTATTACCCAGGGTTACTCAATGCTAGAGGCTTCATGTGGAGCTTCTGAAATTATGT